GCTACAGAGCACTCTCTAAGTGAATACAAAATGAGCACCATTCACTCCTTGTTGATATTTTGATAATGGTTTGGAAGTACTGGGGATTATGGCACAGAAATTACCCCTCAGACAGGGTTAGTGTAATTGGTTAGTAATTCATCCTTAGTGCTGAAAAGATCCTTCCACAGTTTCCAGGTGCTGACATAAGGAGCCTAGCAGTGAAAAGCGTCTTCTAAAATAGCTATTTGCCTCATTGTCGTGTTAATTCTTTCGTTTTATTGTTTTGTGATTCCCTCGAATAATTCCTGATCTGTGTTAGTTGCACATAATCAGGGACGGACTGACCATTTGGAAACTTGGGCACTGCCCGAGAGCCCGGGGGTCAGTAGGGGGCCCCATGAGATGCCCCTGGTACCTTTTTCATAGGCTTTTTTGAGTTTGGGCAAGGGCACAGGGGCCCCATGATCCCCTATTGCCCAGGGGCCCCATGAGTTGTCAGTCCGCCCCTGCACATAATATACTGAAGCTAAACCACATTGAACTTGACAGGTGCATTGCATATTTAGTAGATGAAAGCAGGAATTGCAGCCATTTCTTTTTAGCTTTCATTAAACCAACACAAAAGTCAATGTATGACCTCCCCATTCTCAACAAAACTGAATGAAAGGGAACATTTAGGTTACCAATAGAAGTACCATAGCAGGATTCATTAAAACACTAAAATCCATTGCATCAGCCTAATGCCGGGTACACATGGGCCAAATATCGGCTGGAATCAGCAGGTACAGTAGAAATCAGTTGACTTTTGGCCCGTGTGTACTGGCTTTTGTGAAATGGACATGCTGGAAGATGTTCCATACCCCTGAAGATGCTGATTATTGGCGAAACATGTTGGGCGGGGCTTTGCTGGTGACATCACATGCATGCAAACACTTGTACCTTGGGCTCTGATTGATATGCACTCTGAGTCTTTTTTTTATATGTGAGTATATGTCCAGATTTTAAATTAATTTCTTTGTACAGTATAACATTATTGGGGCTCCTCAAAAATCTTTTTTTCAAGGGACGTTGTACCTGCTTTGATGGAAGCCTTTATCCATTTGGTGAGGACAAGAGGATTTCTGGCTGGCAGTACGGTCAGTGCCGACCAAAGGACTGATCTCGTATTAATAAGATCAATGGATACACAGAATATAACTGGTTACTAACATTTATAGGTAAAGTTGATCCAGGGAATATCCGATTGCCTCTCGAGGATCAGGAAGGAATTTTTTTTTTCCTGCAGTAGCAAATTGGATCATGCTTTGCTGGGTTTTTGGCCTTCCTCTGGATCAACTGTGGGTGTAGGATTATAACTTTATATCTTTTTATGGTTGAACTGGATGGACTTTTGTATTTTTTCAGCCATAGTAACTATGTAATTCTTCTGGTAAGAGGCTAAGCATTTGTCTGGTGGCGGAAGCACGTTGGTTCACTCCTAAGTGTGTTTTCGTGATCACTGTTGGATGACATATGGATTGAGCACGTCTATCATTTAATCTATTGGACTCCACTGATAATATTTGGATTTTAACATAAGCTGGAAAACCAGCATTGGAATGGCATACGATCAGCGCCTTCAGCCAATGCTAAACCAATGCTGCGAGTGCTGACCTCTGTGTTTTGGCGGGGGGATCCCCCTGTCAGAACACAAACAATAGCATAACTGGTGAGATCACTGTAATAACATTGCTTGTGTTAGTACAGCAATCTGGGCCCCCCGGGCAATAGGGGATCATGGGGCCCCTGTGTCCTTGCCCAAACTCAAAAAAGCCTATGAAAAAGGTACCAGGGGCATCTCATGGGGCCCCTACCAAACCCGGGCCCTTAGGCAGTGCCCAAGTTTCCAAATGGTCAGTCCGCCCCTGCACCCCGAGTGAGTATACTCCTATCTCCCTGTCTGCTCTTCTCCTCAGTGTTCGATATTACACATAGACACAGATTCAGACGCACACATGCACAAAAATACACACACAAAGTCACACAAACACAGAGAAACACAGAGAGAGCGAGAGGATGATAGAGAAACCCACAGATGTTGAAGGGTCACAAGTGCTCCACTATTTGTGGCCATCAAAAATATTTATATTGACTGTAATACTATAAGTCTCTTTTACTCTTAGAATAACCCTCAGTTTTCACTCCTAGAGCATGCACACAAACCTTTTAGTCACCAGCCTACAACTCATGTCTATAAATCCTCAGCGCCCAATCTCATGCATTGGCACTAACTCCTCAAGTGACCAGTCCCAAGTAAAGGTGCTTTAGCCACTAAGTGGTGAGCTCCACTCTACCTGAGTTAAGCTTTCAGCAGCCACTCAATCAATTATGTGCATTAGCCTCAAAGTACCCTGTCCACACTACATGTGTTTTTAACCCCTTGGTGCCTAGCACATCTGTGTTAACCCCTTAGCACTCAGTACTTTAAAGTATCTGTGTAGTCAATTATTTTATGGCTTTGGATAGAGTAGGGAATTTTAAAAATCCTAATCATTTTTATCATTCCTCTCTGTATCCTATTGGGGAGATTTCCCTTCACTTCCTGTCTTGGAGGCACAACAGAAAAAAAACAAAAATTCTACAAAGTAAGGGGAATTCCCCTCTTAGACTGTTGTTGTCAGTACAGGTAATCCCATTGTTGATAATTCTAAAATGTCACAAATAAAAAAACTGGTGATAAGAATGCGCCTATAGTGAATGTCTCAATATCATACCACTGATCTCCTAGGCAGCTTCCCCTTTAAGTGCACGTGATACTTCACTTATAAACAAAAACAATGATAGTGGGTGCTCACCCTTAGCATAACAAATGGATAAATAAATTAATACAATGGTGATCATAAAGTTCAAATATTAAATAAATCTATGGATGGGAACTTTTCTATTTAATAGAATTTGAACTTTATGATCAGCATTGTATTGATTTATTTTAAAATGTTGGTTTACCTTTCATTTTCCAAATAACAATGGTTACCAGGATAGATAGATAGATTGATAGATAGATAGATAGATAGATAGATAGATAGATTTATTTATTTATTTATTTATTTATCGAGTTTATATAGCGCCAAAGGGTTTGCTCAGCGCTGTACAATAGAGGGGGGACAATACATGAAACAGTACAGTAACATCAAACAGCACACAAGGGGTAAGAGGGCCCTACTCTTTCGAGCTTACAATCTAGGAGGGAGGGGGTAGAGGTACAGGAGGAAATGGCTGTGGGGGATGGAGTGGAAGGAGGAGGGAAGGGCAGCGGCTGTTAGGTGAGGGTGGGGTAGGCTTCCCTGAAGAGGTGGGTTTTCAGGGAGCGCCTGAAGGTGAGGAGGGAAGGTGACAGTCTGATGGGTTGGGGTAGTGAGTTCCAGAGGATGGGGGAGGACCTGGAGAAGTCTTGCAGTCGTGCGTGGGAGGAGGAGACCAGGGAGCAAGATAGAAGGAGGTCCTGTGAAGAGCGAAGGGTACGGGTAGGGTGGTATCTGGGAATCAGGTCGGTGAGGTAGTTAGGGGCAGTGTTGTGAATGGCTTTATAGGTCAGAGTGAGCAGTTTGAATTTAATGCGTTGGGCAATGGGGAGCCAGTGGAGGGAGAGGCAGAGGGGGGTGGCAGAGGTGGAGCGGCTGGTGAGGTGGATGAGTCTGGCAGCTGAGTTCAGGATGGTCTGAAGCGGGGAGAGCCTGCACTGGGGTAGGCCGGTGAGGAGGGAGTTGTAGTAGTCAAGGCGTGAGATAATCAGGGAGTGAACGAGTAGTTTAGTGGTGTCTGGGGTAAGGAAGGAGCGTATCTTGGAGATGTTCCGGAGGTGGAGCCTGCATGAGTTTGTGAGAGATTTGATATGAGGTTGAAAGGAAAGGTTTGAGTCCAGAATGACGCCAAGGACCTTGGCTTGCGGGGCGGGATTGATGGTGGTGTTGTTGGTAGTGATGGAAAGGATGGGGGGGGGGGCACGGGAAGGGGGAAAGACGAGAAGCTCGGTTTTGGAGAGGTTGAGTTTGAGGAAATGGAGCGACATCCAGTAAGAGATGTCGTTTAGGAGGTGAGTGATGCGGGCGGAGAATGTTGGGGTGAGGTGAGGGGTGGATAGGTAGATTTGAGTATCATCAGCATAGAGGTGGTAGTTGAAGCCGTGGGAGTGTATGAGTTTGCCAAGGGAGGAGGTGTAGATGGAGAAGAGAAGGGGTCCAAGGACAGAGCCCTGGGGGACCCCAACAGAGAGGGGGAGGGAAGATAGATGATAGATAGATAGATAGATAGATAAGAGAAAGTGTTCTAACTTTTTCATACCAAATCCAAATCTTAAAAAAATTAAAATGTGGCTATACGTACAGTATACTTTAAAGTGTATCCACAGCCAAAACCTTTTCTAGTAGCTTTATTCCACATGGAAGAGAAATATATTTCCAATATACTTAGAAGAAAAAAAAATGATAAATGTGACATATATTTACAATATATTGGCCTACGCTAATACTGTATATTTTAACATGTATTTAAAAGGCATATATTTAAAAATATATATTTTTAAATATATTCTTCAGTTTTGTTTTACATATAAAAAGTAATTTTAACATACTGTATATTTGTACATATATTTGTAAATGCATTCCAAAAATGTAGATTAAATGTATTTTCAAAGACATATATTTGAACATTTATTTTTAAAAATATTTTTCATATATATTTTTTTTTCATATATAAAAAACGCATTTCAACATACAGTATTTATGTATTGAAATATATATTGGAAATATATTGAATATGACCAAAATTGTAGTGTTTCAAATATATGTCAATATATTTGGGAAGAATATTGTTAAAATATATTTAAAATATATTTTTCTTCCACGTGGATAGAAAAAATAAGTAAGGTTTAGAACCCATGTGATGTGTTATTGCTGCCTGTGTCCTAGTGTAAATACAATATATCCTATTTTGTCTTGGTGACCACATGTTAAAGTGGTTGTCAGGGGCGGACTGACAACTCATGGGGCCCCTGAGCAATAGGGGATCATGGGGCCCCTGTGTCCTTGCCCAAACTCAAAAAAGCCTATGAAAAAGGTACCAGGGGCATCTCATGGGGCCCCCTACTGACCCCGGGCCCTCGGGCAGTGCCCGAGTTTCCAAATGGTCAGTCCGCCCCTGGTGGTTGTACACTTCAGACATGAAATATGAACAAAGCATATCCAACTATAGTGTGTACTTGTCTCAATTAAGAGCACTAAGTGTAATTTCTGTCTGCTGCTTCATTCCTCTGCTATCAGCATGAATCACGTCTGGTAGATTTTCCTGACACCAAGAGAAAAAAGGTGACAAGGGAGGGATCTCCAGTTGATTGACAGCCTCAACTCAATCCTCTGTGTGCTGTGTGGAGGAGGGTGTGTCCCTTCCCTCCAATCAGCTCTCCTAGATCTCTTCTCTCTTCCCCTCTCAACTTTAGCTCTCTTCCCCATTTTCTGAAAGCTAAGACAAATTTAAAAATATTGGACTTTCAATGGTTATAGAGAAGAGAGAGCTGCAGATAAACAAGTACAACTTATGCAGGAGGATTTGTTTCATCTATGTGTATCACCTGAGGCCAGTCACTTCACTGGGCATATAACCTCACAGCAACTAGATCTCCTACATGTACATTAATTCCACAGTATCCAGTCCCCATAGCATGTGTGTAAACGTAGCAGTGATAATTCATTTCAAACATGTAAAAAATTTTCTGACCCCTCTTTCATCCTCTGCCCACTTTTGCTATAATAATCATCTTAACAAAACCAACATTAATTTCAGAACGTAATACAATCAAAATATCTTAGATGAAATATTCTACTTGCACAAAATTACCCCAATTATTGACCTCCACCCACGCTAAAAATCACCCCATTTTTGAGTGGATATACATATTGAATAGATACATGTATTTATAATATGTCAAATGGACTACAGGCTGTAGCTATCTTTACACATCATTTTGCCCTAGAAACCCTGAATGATGATGCTCCTTGGAAGCTCGAGTTCATAAGAGCGTAGGGAGAACATGCAAACTCCATGCAGGTAGTGTCTGGGTTGGGTTTCATAATTAGAACCCTAGTGCTACAAGGCAGGCATGCTAACCATGCTATTGGTTAACCCAAGTAACTATTTATGCAAAGCACTGGGTATTTACATCTCCGGTTCTTAAGCTTATATAAAGGTTGGTGACATGAGCGTTACATGTATAGTTAGCCTTTGCTTTCCTATAATTAAACCTTTTCAAACTGGCACCAGATCCGTAACAGAAAATTATTTATAGGCTTGCTTGAAATGCCAAGCTCAAATGCAACTTTTCTTATAGTTGATTTTCAAGTGGAAATTAATAATGAATTACTATGCCCTAGTTTACTAAATCATTCTTTTTTTACTTGGCTGACACAATGACAAATGTTTTTCTGGGTAGGCACCTTCACAAACAGTCATCAGCTCTGGCAAGGAAAACAATCTTGTACAGTATATAGGCATTAAATCAAATTATGGCATTTCAGATAGATCAAAGTATTCACTAAAGAAATGTGGTGCATTTATGGAAGGAATGTCACACACTGAAAGATCAAGTTATGTAATGTGCAATGCTTTTGTATATAACATTCACAGATATACTCTTCACAGAACTTTTGGTAGGCACTGGTATGGTGCAATGGATGAACTTTTTATTTATTTCATTGTGTGCAATATATTGGCGACAATTCACTAAAGGTTATCGCATGCGGTATGTCGGTCACAAAACCAGGGGCGGACTGACCATTTGGAAACTCGGGCACTGCCCGAGGGCCCGGGGTCAATATGGGGCCCCATGAGATGCCCCTGGTACCTTTTTCATAGACTTTTTTGAGGTTGGGCAAGGACACAGGGGCCCCATGATCCCCTATTACCCGGGAGCCCCATGAGTTGTCAGTCCTACCCTGCACATGACCACATTGTATGCAATACTGAAAATGTCAATTCACTATTGTTAGCATGCGGAATTTACTGCAAATAGCAAAAATGCTTGGTAAATAACGCATAAAAGACCTTAAAGTCAGTTCACAGAAGGAAATAAATAATTAAATGCATGTGGTAATTAAGTAGTGGGCTAGGCATGCGGTATGTACTGGTAAATGTCATTAGCGGCTGTCATCAGCTGTCAGTGGGGTTCCTCATTGACAGCTGAAGGTAAAAAAAAAAGAATTGCCGGCAATGAAAAATTAAGCAAAAAATGCGTGGGGCCCCTTCATCCATACCGAGGACTTTGGGCCTGGTATGAATTTTGAAAGGAACCCCCACATCAAAATAATCAAAATGGCACGGGGGTTCCCTTCAAAATCTATACCAGACCTAAAGGGTTTGGTATGGATGGGGGGGGGGGGCACACAGTTTTTTTATTAATTTATATAATTGACAGCAATTCTTTTTTTTTATATTCAGCTGTCAGCTGGAAACCGGCTGACAGCTGATACATTGCTACTGCATGTTTGTTTTCACTACTAAAATACTGCATGACTTAATAAAATAACTCATGTCTGTTTTTTAGTTAATGACAGAATTTTTTTGGAAAAATGCTGTGCGGTATCTTACCGCATACTTGGATGTGGTAAGACACAGCTTAGTGAATTGTCCCCATTGTTATTAGTATTGTACAGGATTTATATAGCTCCCACACTTTGTACAATGTTTTGCAATATAAAGGGAGACAGTACAGTTACAATTAAATTTAAGACAAGTGGTAGGAGGTTCTCGCTCATGAGATCTTACAATGTAAAAGGGAAGGGCACATGATGCAAAAAGGTAAGGGATGAGTTGAGTGAAAAAAAAACAGTTGTTAGGTAGAGATGCTAAAGAAATGGGTTTTCAGGAAGTAGGATACAGCAAGACAGACTGGGGTCAGGGGCGGACTGACAACTCATGGGGCCCACGGGCAATAGGGGATCATGGGGCCCCTGTGTCCTTGCCCAAACTCAAAAAAGCCTATGAAAAAGGTACCAGGGGCATCTCATGGGGCCCCCTACTGACCCCAGGCCCTCGGGCAGTGCCCAAGTTTCCAAATGGTCAGTCCACCCCTGACTGGGGTAGTGAGTTCTAAAGGATAGGAGAGGTTCTAGAGAAATCCTGGAAAAGAGCATAGGAGAAGGTGACAAGAGAACTAGAGCAAAAGGCCTTGTGAAGAGCAAAGAGGACTGTTTAGGTTATATTTTGTGATTAGGGGTTGATGTAGTTTGGGGCAGAGTTGTGGATGACTTTGTATGTTGTAAGTATTTTGATTTTTTTTTGTTGAGTGAGGGGAAGCCAGTGAAGAATTTGGCACAGTGGGATGTTGGACCATAAGCGTTTCGTAAGGAGGATGAGTCTAGCAGCAAAATGTATGATAGACTGAAGGAGCATAGCCTGTGTAGAAGTAAGCAAATTAAAAATGAGCTGCAATATTCAAGACAAGAGATAACAAGGGAGCAAATTGCTGTTGTTCTCAATGTAAAGGTCATAGGAGGGGCCTGCATGCTGGAGGTTTCTCATCTCAACAGCCTAACGCATGAATTTGCCCCCCTGAATTCTTTGTAACCATATTGCACTGCAAGAGGCTTTGAACTTAGGGTCAGGTCAATTGGAAGGGTCAATAATGGAGCATTTGTTATGTGCCAGCCCCCTCACTATAAAAGGGGGGGGGGCACCAAACAGCCATAGTGTCAGTGCAGTTGAAACTACTGTAGGTAAAGAATAGAGTA